CAACAACAACAACAACAACAACAACAAACTGTAACCAATTATCCACCGAGTCCTCCCAACGGATGTCCGGCACCAAAACAGGATCAGACTCGCTAGGGATAGCCTATACGACACCATACACGAAACCCGTACCGTGGGTGATGGGCTTCTTGGGGCTGTGTCTCATGAGGTAGTGCGCGAACGTCGACACGGTCTTCACCATCTGCTCATCGTAGCACAGCCACTGGTTGAAGTCCATGTTTTCCGTCCAAGCGTTGTTCAAGATGTCTTCCAGCTCTCTGCCGGTGAAGCGACGTCAAGAAATGAAAGACAGAAATTTGCAGGGAGGTGTTGCGTTAGTTACAATGGTGTGAAAAATGTGTGGGACATCAATGGACATGCGAACGCACACCCTGTGATTTACACACTAACCACGCGAACCGTTGCTATGATAGTCCCAACCGTACGATGGTCCAGCCTCCAATATTCGACGCGGGGGGCGGATGGGGAGGACAATGACATCTACTTTTTGTTGCACGACATGCTGAACCCTTTTGGGTCTGGGAGCTACGTTCTTCGCCGGTCTGCCAGTCCCAGGTTCCGTTTCGACATTTTGTTTTTCACCACACAAAAGACAANGGGGCGGATGGCGGAAGACAATGATATCTACTTTTTGTTGCACGACATGCTGAACCCTTTTGGGTCTGGGAGCTATGTTTCTCGCCGGTCTGCCAGTCCCAGGTTCCGTTTCGACATTTTGTTTTTCACCACACAAAAGACAAAGGGGGGAGAGAGTGCGGGAGAGAGGGAGAAGTACAGGAACAAAGGCAAGTGTACTTTTGTAGACGCCACAACAACCTCCACCTATTCGCTACTAGGGCAGCCCGCGACAGGGCAGTGGCATCTNTAACTCTCTTTTCAGTATTTCTAACCCTAAGCCCCAACCCACAAACTTGACTTTTGTACTTCTCTGTCACCCGCGAGTGTAAGCCCCGCCGACTCTCTAGAGTTCCTTCCGCATTAACACACTACCACAGCTCGAAGAACTTGCCAATACTCCAAGTGGAGGGATAGAGACGTCGGCAACTCCACGACTTGCTACCATACCAGCTGTTGGAAAAAAATCAATCAAATTACAGTCAGAAGGCCTGAAGTCCAACGAGGATTTGAACTGACCTGATGTGCCACTTCGAATCGAACTCTGGGTTCGGGGTCTTGTCCTCGCCCGCCCAACGAGGAGGAGCGTTGCCGTCCGAGCAGTGAATGAAACGGCAGTACAACAGCTCGAACAAGTCGCGCGACATGCACTCCCTCACTAGAGGATAGTCGTCGTGTAGCGACCTACTCCAGTGCTTCCTCATGTGCGTTTTCTTCGTGAGCCCCATCGTGATCGTGATGCCAAGCATACCGTAGATGTGCTTCCGCTCGAATGCGGGTTCGGGCAGCGTTACCATGCCGAGAGTTCTCGTCTTCTCCAACTGATGCGCTTTCCGCGTGTCCTTCGCTCCCGGGAGTGATGGCGTGGTGCAAAGGTTCACGTACTTGTTGGTCTGCGAATAGACCACGTTTCGCGCGGAAAAGGGCAGGGACAACACGACGAAGGAACGAAACGATCAGCATGGCATTCGCATTAGAGGTCGCGCCGACGCGCCGAATATACACGAGGAGGTGTTGTCACTGGCCCAAGCCGTGGCAGACCAACCATGTCCGATTCACCTTTCATCTGCATACTCTGTCCCCAGGCGTCTTGGAACGTCAACAACATTGAAAGGGCGCACAACAAACTATTTTGTTGCACACCTACGTAGTACCCATTTTCAACAGTCCCTCTTTTTTTGCGAAGGTGTATGTACCACTGTTCAATGGGGGCCCCGCGTGGGAGGTGGGGAGCTGATTTGGTAAGGTAGTCCTAACGCGAGCTTCCATCGTCTCTTGCAAACCACAAGCATGATACACAACACTGACTGGAGCTCTTCACTCGCTCCAGGTATGCGTCGCTGCCGGAAATACCTGCGTGCTTGAATATATTATACGATTGGATCTACTTTCGGGCAGTGTGACCAGTGCTCACCTTGTCAACAAAAAGATCAATCGCCTCGTCCGGGAACATCATGTCGAAGCACGTCATCATCGACCCATGTAGCGGGAACTTGCCGGACTCGTCGAGGCTGTCCATGAACGTATCGAGGGAGGGCAGTTTCTCGCGCGCGGACGCCGACAGCGAGGCAGCGCTGACCGTCTCCCGCTGGGTTCTTTTCTTGTGGTCGTCTGTCCCCGCAAAATCAGGAATGCCGCGGTCCGTCCACACGACGTCCTCGTCCTCCTCATCCTCGTCCTCAACCTCCTCCTCCTCCTGCTGCTGCTGCTGCTCCTCTAGCTCCTCCCTCTCCCGCCGCTCCTCCTCCTCCACCTCCCCGCGTGGTCGATGCTGTTTTATTTTGTTTCTCTCATCCGCCTTCTTGAGCCTCGCCTTCTCCTCGTCGGCGATCTTCTTGAGCTGTGTTGAATACGTCACTGACAAACAGCATCGACAGCGGGTTCAACGCAGTCGGTGTGTCAATTTACCCCCGGAGTGTTGTGTCAAATGTGCAAAAAAAGAATGACGCACGACGCTACGGTGTCACCAACACCGACGAAACCAAGGAGCGAGGGGTAATAACATAGGCCGGCAGGGTGGACAGGTCACGCACGTGCATTTATATACGACCTCTGAACTCAACATTCGTCGCCCGCTGCTAACAATGTAAACCACACCCGTGCTGAACAACAGCAGCCTGGTACGGAGGCGTCAACCTCAACAATGCTCACGATCATGCAAGCAACCAGGGAAGTGTCGATTAACCAACGCGTAAAGATACTATTTCTTCGAGGCAAGCGACANACAGGTCACGCACGTGCATTTATATACGACCTCTGAACTCAACATTCGTCGCCCGCTGCTAACAATGTAAACCACACCCGTGCTGAACAACAGCAGCCTGGTACGGAGGCGTCAACCTCAACAATGCTCACGATCATGCAAGCAACCAGGGAAGTGTCGATTAACCAACGCGTAAAGATACTATTTCTTCGAGGCAAGCGACAACACGAGCCGAACGGAAGTGCATACCTTGATCCGCGTTTGTTCATTGTGGATAGGGTACTCGCCATATGGTATCCCAAGCGCAAAAAAAAAAAAACTGTGGAAGTAGTATTGAGCGATGCGCACTCATTTTTTTTCTCTCAAGTTTACACTACCATCATCTCTATCGTCTTCTCTTTGATCCGCCTGTTCGTGCGGACAATGCCAACAGAAGAGCCTACCC